TGGCAGAAGGTGGAACGAGGAGAAAGAGAACCAGTACCCTTGGACCAGGTGCCCTGAAGGTCTCCAACCTTTGTACACGGCACAGAGAGCACGTTCTCAGACACGAGAGCGTGAGTGCAAGCAACATCTGGGTCTACTTCCTCACCCCAGCTTCCAGATTTTCAAATTTGTTTACAGTTTCTCTCAAACCCCTCTCAAATTGTTTCATTTAAAACGTTGCTACATGGTTCTGTTCATATCCAAAACACTCAAATACCCAGCAAAACCCCACAAGATTAACAGAACACAGTAAGCATATTCACTGTTTTCTATACAGGTTCAAAACGTATATATGTCCTTGCTTACAATCACTGACTGAATGCAGTTAGATGCACAGGAGTTATAAAATACATTTGTTTTTTTAAATTTTTTGAGAGAGAGAGAAACAGCAGCAGCAAAGACAAAAAGCAAAAGAGCTGTCTATTCAGACAAAGCTGACTTCCTGAAGACTAAACATCTGCTTGCTGGCAGCCATGGTTTCAAAATCTAAAATACACTTCACATCAGATGTTTCCCTTATTTACAGTATTTCAGTACTGATGACTCATGTAATTTTGATATATATTGGTTTTCTTTAAAGCTGACCTCCATGAAAAATGATTACTTAGGAAGCCCAACTTATAATAAAGAAAATATTGAGGCATGGCTTGGGATAGAAAAGCTTGAAAATATAACCCAAGTGCAGAGCTCTCAAAATCCAGAGTGCAAACAGAAAAAGCACATGAGAGAAAAAACAAAACAAAAATAAACTCATGATTTTATAGGGCTTTGGTCTATCAACAGAATGAAAGAGTTTGTCAGCATTTTCTCAGGCAAACATTGCCAGTCACAAGCCATCAGAGCAACCACCATCCACTCCATAATGCTACCCAGTAACTCATTTTCCTCTTTGGGACTTTATACCTTTTCTAGAAAATGGAAACAATTTTTTTTCCGCTTGAATCCTCCCTGCAGTAGTTATTCGAAAGGCATATGTTAAATAGCAGCCAAACTTGCACAAAGCTCAACTAAGATTGTATTTTGCAACACTTTTTTTCTGAGTTCACAGATTTTTTTCAGGAAAAACACAGTGCTTCAAATTAATCACTACAAAGGCAGCTAATCCTTCCTAGATCCAACCACTACATATACCACATTGAAATGTTGTGGCTGACTAAGCCCATTATAAATTTAAAGCCTCGCTTTAGAAGGGGAAAGAGGTAAGACTGCATGGATAATTCTGAAGTGCTTTATAAATGCTGTTGAAATAGTAAACCCATTTTACGGATGAAGTACAGATGTTAGCTAAGTAGTATGTGGATATTGAAAGACATCTTTTGTACGAGAGCTGGGAATTGAAATCAAGTCATCTAAGCCGGTAGTTTTTGCCCAGTTGCAATGTCTTCATTTTACAAGATCCCTTTTTCTTGATTACTCACCTCTTGTGCAAATGACTCTGCTTTCTTCCGCAGGTTCTTTTCCAGTTCAAAGTTTACATGAAGCTCTTCGTATTCCTCTACTGCCAGCACAGACACTGTTTATAAGAATAAAACAAGATCAAAAGTAAAAGTGGAATGGATCAAAGTAAGAAGAAAGTACTGACTGATTTACCCAGATAAGCTGTTATTCCCCAGTACCATGAATCCTTGAATGAAGATGTAACCTACTTTTACATTTCCATATACAGTCCGCTTTGCAATAGTTGTCCTCTTTGCTCTAAACCTCGCTATATATATGTACAATTACTGATTTTCTGAATAGAGTAATACTCCTCCTGCCCAGACTCAAAATCTCCAGTAACAGGCATCATGTAGCACAGATCATATTTTGCCTCTTTGGGTGTAAGCTACCAAAGCTGCAAGAGAGCCTTGCTGAATCTACCAAAGATTACTACGTTATTTTGGAGGCACCTGTATTTGCCTATCTGGTTTGAGTGGGGGTTGATGTGTCCCTTTACAATGGAGATTTAAAGAAGCCTCAAGAAGAAAGCAGCGCAATTTTGTGTTGCCTGTATTTAAATTGTGTTCACAAAAGCGAGGCTCGTATGGGTGGCTAAAGCGAACCATGGGGCATGCTTCCCCAAACCATTCTGAACAGGCCTCAACTCAGGACAGCAAGCACCATTTAGAAGTACTCAAGTATCATTTATTCTTATGCTTGCATTCTCTTGATAAGCTTTAGCTCTTACTGGCTGACGACTAGTTGGCAGGGTGATGATACTGGATTTCTAACACTGTCGTACACAAATTTCTTGCTTTTTTGGAGACAAGCATAACAGTTTTTAAACCTACCTACAGTAAGCAGTACTTTAGACAGCAGAATACAAATCCCAGCCCACCCGATTCTCAAAACAATGTTAACTTAAAAAAAACCAACCAAACAAACAAAAAAACCCCAACAAACCACCCACACACTTAGAAAGATTTAAGATAAATTCAACAACTCTGACTGAAATGTATTGATTACACAGCTCCAAGACAGTGCCGCATAGACACAGAATATAGTAGGTACTGAACGGATACTTAGGTAGCTTGCTTTATGTTGCCTGTGCATAGCCTGGTATAACTCCTCCTTCCTGGAAAACAGGCAAATGTAAAACAAGGGGTTTTCTTTTTTCTAAGCATGATCAAAAGAAGAACATTTCAGAAACTTTTCATCTGCCACACTATCCCCTCAAAAGCTTCTTCAAGCTGATCTAATCAACCTATCTGAAGTTTGGTGTTTTAAGAGCCTTCAAGTACTGCCCGTCATAGGCTTAAGCAATGCAGAGACATGGAAGAGGTAAGAGATGAACACTTCATGGAAGCTTACAGGATATGCTCTACTGTAGCTTGGCCAGACCCCTTGTCTTCCACTTCAGGAAAATGTGAAACAGCCAACGAGACTTTTAACCAAACAATTTTTAATTTTACAAGGCTGAATAAGCAACAAGAGAAAAGGGTACAATAATCCAAGGCACTAAAATCTTTCCCCTCCCCTCTAAACTTCTTTTGGGTCAACTGTTTCTGACATGGAAGCACTTGCCTTCATCAAGCAAAAGCTTTCCTTTTCTGAGACGTATCTCTTTTTAGACTTTCCCTGCCCTGGTTTTACCTCTCATCTCTTTCCAGTAAAGTCCCTGCTTTCCTTCCATAACTTGGAAATCCTATTTACCTCATTCCCAGTACTCTTGCTTTTTCCTCACCACCCTCTGAACAAAAACACAAGTTGCTCCCAGGTCTCTAGATATTCAAAATTACTAGCTGTGTCCCAACTAAAAGGAAGGCTGACGTAATGATTTTGGAAAACAGGAGATTAAGGTTCAAACTCCATCTCTGTGAAGGACTGTCGTCTTGCCCTAGTTTGCCACTTGTGCCACAGAGCAGAAAGTTTTTTCTATTCTCACATTCAACCTGCTCTTTACCCTGTCACATTTTCCCGGAGTAGAGATAGTCTAGAATAGTCCATGTGTTTATGCAGTGCCTGCAGCAACGAGGCCAAGTGTCAGATCTGGACCACGGTTACTGTTCTGTAACCTGCTCTTTGTACCACAACATAAAAGCTCTGAAGCTTCTGCAAAGGATGTAGCAAACTGTTAGAGAACCTGCTGAGACCACACACCTCTGTTACATTTCTCCAACAGTTTTTGCTGCCTATTAACTTCTGTTGTCAAAACAGCCTTTTCTTCTTTCAATTTATTCACCTAGAAAAGTATAAAGAAGAAATCAACAATAAGAGTATTTTAGTTAGTGGCATAAGGCGTATAGCAAGACATAATGCAAGCAATATTTTGCTTTCAGTAATTCTGTTTCTTAGGTTTGCCTTGATCTTAGGGTTTCCAGTGGGATGGAAAGCATTTTTACCCCAACTTACAGACCCCATAACAGATGGCATTAAAGGGTTGTGAACTAATCCTTCACATGGGGCTCCCATAGCCCGTTTGCATGGCACATAGAAGTCACAGCTGCAAATATAACATCTTTGGAACCTTTCAGGATGAGCACTTGGTTGAAAAGTTACTAGCTTGCCCTTGACTGTTTGCATTTTAATATAGTCAGGCTGCTGTTTTGGTTTTTTTCCTGGGCTCTGTTTATTGTCCAAGAGCTGTCAGCTGTGTCTTTCTGAATCCAAGTGTTGCATAGACAGGAAGAGCCACTAAGTCCTGATTTGCATCAGTACATGGC